ACACGGTCATTATTGCAAAAAAAAAAAAAAAAAAAAAAATGCAGACAGGTTGATATTGACGTTTCTGACGCAGACTGTGTTCTTGGAGGCTGTTTTTCTTCTCACAACATAATTCCAAGTTGAAGTAATATTTATTTGTTTGTTGGTGTAGCTGTAGCCTATTAATTTAGTAATTTAGTAAGTAATAGCCGTGTAAAAAGCGGAATGATTTTGAGACTTATTGAGACCCTGGACTTTGGTTCATGTCTCAAATTTGCTCATGCTAATTGTTGCTTATGGAATACACTTGAAAATAAAGGTCACTTAGGATGAGATGGGGGAAATAAGAGTGAGGTGGGGGTGGGGGAGTCAGAAGCTCATTCAACCCCCAAACTACACCTGTATCGACAATGTAGGTCAGTCAGACAGGTTGAACAACATGCAAGTTTATGTGAAGGGAAATATAACGCCTAATGTGAGTACAGCATCCGGGAATGAGCCATCCAGCACGCTCTTTCTGATCTTTAATTCCTTTCTCCTTAGTTTGACATTTTTATTCATCAGAACCTCAGGAAACGTGCTGGTTTTCTTTGCTGTTCTTAGAAGCAAACGTTTGCAGACATCAATCTATGCGCTGCTGTTGAATTTATCCGCCGTGGCTCTTCTCAGATGTTCTTTAGATTCACCGGTGTTTTTAGTGTCTTTAATCGGAGACTCGGTTGGGCTCTTTCCGTGTTGCCTGCAGCAGTTCACTTTCTCTCTGTGCAGCGGTGTGCAGTTTATGACGCTCCTGCTCATAAGCGAGAGATTCTTGGCCATCGCCTTTCCTTTCAAGATGAGGAATGAGAAAATGGATTTTGTTTATTTGGGTTTGTGGGATTCGCAGTTCTGTCGCTGACAATGTGATAATTCCTGTTACGTCATGTGCCAGCATTTACAAAGGTCACCAGGGTCACGCACGGACCCCTTTAGTGTGCACGTGCCGCTTCCCGTCTGGGGTTTGTCTATGACCCTGATAATCATTCACAGCATACCAACAAAATAACTGACACAGGTTTGAAGTTTAAACCTTACTTTGGAAGACACCTCCATGAAACCGTGTGGCCCCTTTAACATCAGACGGCACAAAGCATATAGCTGGTGCAGTGTGTATTCTGAGTCTGACCCCAGCGGCCCTCGAGCTGGACAAGAAGAGGGCGGAGGGCTGCATGGCGAAGAGGTTCGGCTACGTCATCATCACGGCCACTGTGTTCTGGGCTCCGCTGTTTATTATCCTCGTGCTGTACGTGTGTGAGGACTGCAGCCAGAATCAAGTGAGAACTCATTTATCTGATAGATTACAGAGAGCGCATTGGAAACTTTTAAAACACTCTGAAATTGTTAATATAATTTACATTAAGAACATTTAGAATAATGCAAGCTTTTACACATTTGGGATATTTGTTTTCTTTAAATATGACTGACAAAAAAATCCTTTTGTTAAGAAACAGACAGCTGCGTTCACAACTCCACAAAGTAGCCTACTCCCGAACACACTCTTGAATCACAGCCTGCATGCTTATCGACTCGAGCAATTAAAGCGATGGGCCTTGATTTGAAACTTTCCTAAACGCTCGGTGGTAAAGAACATGTTTTTTTTTCGTGATGTGGGTGATTCGTTAAATATGCTATTATTTATTTTTAAGTGTTAATCAAAGGCAAGATAAATTAAACTCTTTGACATGCTCTTAAAGGGAAAGTTCACCCAAAAATGACAAGTCTGTCATTTACTCATCTTTATGTCGTTCCAAACCTGTATACAGTAATTTTCTAATCTTCCGTGGAACACAAGATATTTTGAGAAATGTCTCTTTTTTTTTTTTTTTTTTTTTATCCATAGAATGGAAGTCAATAAAACTGTTTGGTTATCAACATTTTTCAAAATATCTTCGTTTATAATTTACAGAAGAAAGTCATACAGGCTTTGAACAACTTGAGGGAGAGAAATTAATGACCACATTTGCATTTTGGGGGGAACTGTCCCTTTAAGGTACAGTTTACAAGGCTTTATCATTTTAAAAACACAATCATATAAAGATATTTCAATTAATCTGCTATTAATCTATAAAGCACACGTAAACTGCATTGCAAATTGTTAGTCAGTAAAACATAAATAGAAATTTTATTGTTACTGATTTTTTTTCTACCTAAATAAACAAAAATGCACCTAAATGGCTCATATCACCATGAGCTGCATGTGGCTAATGAGATGAAAAGAGACAATTGGAATTGTAGCAAGTCATATTGTGTTTTAAATGATGGACGATATTTTCATATAGAATGATTTATTGTAAGAAGCAAATTATATTTTTGAGGTGCTCAGATAAATTTTAAGACGATTTAAGATGGAGTCTGGATTTCTTTTTCAGCTGCAGCTTGTTTTCTGCATCCTGACTGATGTAATATCTATCAGCTGTAATGTCATGTGTATACTTTATTTCAGCTCCAAAATATTGTTTATGTGATTTCATCATTAAACTGCTGTCAGATCACGGTTCAGCATTGTCAGAGGAACTGAATAAACAGCAGATGGATTTGTGGCAGATACAATTCATTTATCAGGCGTTTCACAACTGTGACACAAGACAAGATCATAAATAATATTGAACATCGGACAGTGAACAGGAATCTGCTGAATACAACAACATGACTATCTAAAAAAAAAACGAAAAAAAAACGAAGAGAGTAAAAGAGTTAAACAAGCACAGACACACAGAGGAAGAAAGAAGACCCTCGACAGGTATGCAGATGCGCACATACAGATCTCCACTTGGTAATATATTCAAAACGACCAGTTCTGTCATTTGAACGGACTGCACATATGAATGATTACAAAGCTGTTAGGATTCTAGATTTACTTCTATTACATTGATGGTTTTGTAGTGTCCCCTGCTGGGCTGGATGTAAAGACAAAGCAAAAGAAAGAAAATCGAACACATTACTGCTCGCCATTGACCACAGGCGATCCAATACTCAACATTTATTATCTTAATCTTTAGAATATATTGGCCACACCTTCCCTTCTGATTAATTAAACATTAGATAATTTCCATATTTCCCATCTATTATGTACACTTATGTAAATCACAAAGGGACCAAACATCATTTGGGACCATAAAAAGAGGATCATTAGAGGTTTGTTATGGATTGTATGTACAACAAACAGGATCATAAGTCATATGATCACATGGGACATCAAAGAACATTCTGATAAGAGTTTCACAAGAATGGTGTGGGCCGGATACCCTGATATTCCTAAATATCACAATGTGCTTTTTCCCTGTAATACTGCTGTCATGTCCAACAAATTACAACTCTTTTCACGTTTGCGTAACTGGACATCCACTTCGGCTTTAAAGTTCAAGTATAGGTTATTTATCTGTTATGCAATTATTAAATCAGATTTTTTTTTCTTCTGGAAAATATGGCTTATTCTATCTAAAAGGGGCCAAAACCAAGATTAAATGTGTTGATAGTGTGTGTTGCATTGCACTGAACACTAAAACTCAGTGGCCCTGGAGCAATAACGTCCTGAGGGGAGGGGGGGTCACTTCCTATGTATGCTGGTGTAAGAGGCACAAGTGAGTGGGGTTTAAGGGGATGGGTGGGGTTTAGAGTCCTGGGACGGGGATTATGATACAGAAAAGCAGAGCTCAGGGGGACATGTGGTTGATTGCTGGCAGTTTTGAGAATAGGATTGGGAATTGTAAACAACACAGACGAAACGGTCTTTCCACTACATGACAACAAATTTGAACTATCTCATTGGCAGTGCCATTCTCCTGAGAATGGCTGACAAAAAAGACACAGACAGAAAAGGAGGGAGTTTGGAAGGAGAGAAAAGAGGTGGAGAATCTCTCTAATTGGTTTGTACGGTTGACGGTTTCTCCTCTCACAGCAATGTATGACTGAAAATCTAGAGGTAACGAAAACATTCACTGTTAATGAAAAAAACACAAACATCAAAAGTTTCCTACCCATGTAGTTTTACACAAACTAGACACATTTTTTTTTTTAAATACCCATTGAGCGATAATGACAATAACACTTAGATCAGAACAACTACGGGAAGCAGGTCAGCAGTGGACAGAGGAAAGGGGCGGGGCATACATAAAAGGGCGGGGCGGACGAAAAGGGGCGGGGTAGGCAGCTGCTCTGGTTTCGCCAAAACAATGGCTAAATATTACAAAATATTCTATCAACAATATTCACAGTTAAACCAAGGCTTGATACACATTGTAGTCACAAAATCTCAGCGACACCTTGTGCTTGTAGTCACAGAGTTTTTAAAAACACTTTCATGATTCTTTCTCTCTTTTTTTTGGTTCTATATTACATAGTAATGTTTGATAGGTCACAGCTAACGTTACAAAGTCGGCTCAGCGTTTTGGACTCGTGGAGAGACAGTGGCTTAAAGAAGAAGGAAACTCTCTTCCCCCTGAGAGGCACGAACTGTGTGAGAGGCTGAAAGTTTGAGGGACGCTTTAGTAATTCACACACGCACACATACACGCGGGGCAGAAACATTCAAGTTAGACCTATCTCTGACCAAATATTCCAAAAATAAAAACTTAGCATGGTCGCCCTCATATAGTCTCACTCAGACTTGCTCTTATCCTTTAGGAATTACCCTACATCAAAACAACATTAGTGGGATATAGAAAGCCGAGGCTTTGAGAGGCTGTCTGCGATGTTGGAACAGATTAACGGACAGATAATAAACAAACAAGACTTTCGGATGAAAACAAAACGCTTGACCTCTTGCCTCCATCTCTAGTCAAAATATTAATCTTTTTCACGATTTATAAAACAGTATGACCCGACAATAAACTAAGAGGAAAAAGGAGAAATGTTTTATGCACAGTGACACTGCAGTGACACCCTCATCTTTATCAGTCTTGATGGAGAGTGTTTGAATACTCATGGTCGTCCTTTCTCTCTCAATTACACAGACGCATCAATGCTGTTCTATTTCTTTTAGAGAGTCTGAGTCAGTGCACTCCTTCTCCCACTAGGGGGCAGGCTACTCATCAGTTTCTCTTCCTGAGTTCTGTTTTCTACAGAGCAGAGATTTTCACCACATCAGAGCCAGTGTTCGGACGAGGCGGAGCATCTGGGTTCGGAGGGGGAGGAGCGTCGGGATTGGCTCGAGAGTTGTTTGAGGGAGGGGTTGGGATACTGATGATTGCCGTGGTAACCAGTCCACTGCTCTTGCAGTTTAGACTCCCTGATTCATCCGACATCAGATTGAGACTGGAACGACTGAGACAGAGAGAAAGAGACAGAGGTCTTAAAACTCTTTTCACACCCTCACTTGTTCATTTAATTACTCTACTAAGGCTACTTTTATAGATAGCATACATCCTAAACACACAAATGAATACAATTATGTTTCCTTGCCTTATTTGACAGAAATTATATCTTGGAAATGACACACAAAACATGCTGTTCACATGTGATATTGACCTTTTAACCCTCATGTTCAGTTGAAATTGACTATACGACTTTTCATGTTTGGGGTCCCGTGAGACCCTAATAATACTGTTAAAATGGTTTATGTTTATTTTTATTTGTTTAAATTGTCATAGATTTTACATTTAGTCATTCATATTTTTATAATGGATTTGCATAGTTTTGAGCATTTAAAAGCATTTTAAAGCATTTAAAAATTATGTTAGTCACCATGAAATCAAAATGGACAAAGTATTTATTGTAAATGATTTGTGCACATAATTTTTTTTTTAAATTCAAGTACCCTCATAATCTTAAAAAAAGTCCCCTCCCTCATGCAGCGACAATTTCATCTCTTCTCTGATGACATGTTTACTAGTGTGACAACCTGTCACTCATGAGATCTCAGCAATGGCAAACTACCATCTAATCAATTCCTGATAGACAAAATCAAGCCCCGCCCTACATTTTTTCTTGTTCGAGAAGCCGTTTCCCTCGGATATAGCTACGCCAGTGACGTCACACAAAAGACTATCGCAACTTCTGTTTAATGCCTACTTTTTTAGAACAAATGTCATGTGACCATCATATATATAAAAAATTTAATTCCAATAAAAATCAACACTTAGGACTGCATGTCTTTTTAAGGAAGGAGTGCTTACCTGGTGTTGAGTGGTTGCTGTTCCCCACAATGGATGTGTAAGGCGCTAAGCTCCTGTAGGTTGTGCGTGTGTGAGTGTGTGTGTGTGGCATTGAGAGCCTGGATGTTCTTATTGGTTCTCCGAGAGCAGCAGGTGCCCGTGACGCCCTCTTCACTGGAGAGAGATGGACTCTGCGATGGGAAGTTCTGCAGGGCTGTCTGGAGGTACCCCTGTTCATACAGACGCTCGTCCACAAACTCATGATTCTGTTCACAGAAACACAAAGATTATTTCCCCGAGTTCATTGGTTTCTAATGTTTTATTTACAAAAGCCTTTTTTTGTAATTGCCTTTACTTCAAAGCCTTACATGTGCATTTTAATATTTGCATATTATAGAGAACATGAAACAGCATTTGGTGCATTTTAACTTCTGTAATGTGACAAATGAGAGCAAATCAGAATCAAATAAATTCCTTCGTTTTTTTTGTCAGTTATACATTGCATAAGACAAGTTTGAGGATGTAATTAAATGCATCTATAAAATGGAATATTATAATACTGTAGGGTGGGCATGGGCGGGGTGAAACTATGATATTATTAGTTAATATATATATTCTTGTCTTTTGTCCTTGTCTTGATTACGTCTGAATGGTCATTGTAGGAATATATTGCATTGCAGAGGCAAAGTTACATTTTGAAGAAATATATATATATATATTTACCAGACTCAATACAATATGCCGAACAACACTATGCATTTTGTATATCCTCCTTTTGATTATCAATAGGCTATCAATACATGAAATACACTTGCGATTTATTAGTCGCTATAGGGAAATAACGAGAAGAATATATCAAAGTGCAGCAAACTGTAAAACTGTTTGCGCTACAAACCAGCATGTTTATAATTAAGACAATACATTAAAATAATATCGTTAGAAATACCAGTTTGAAATATCAAGCAGCATAACGAACTGTTATTTTTAAACAACAAACTAAGCTAGAAGCGAATGATATCGGAAGCCAGACACATTAAAGTTACAAATGGCAGTGCCCGCTCTTACCTGAAAAATAAGGTAGATAGGCCTATACCCTTAGCCTACCTTAAGTTTAATTTTTGTAGGCCTATTTATTATTTGCTGTATTTATTATTTATATGACATTTAGCTTGATGTATTATGTTTGACAATGATAATGCCTGTTTGTTGTTAAAATAGGTTTAATAATTTAAAATATATAGCCTATATACTAGGCTATAGGCTATTATATGTCCCTTGTAGGCCTAGGTTACTTCTGCGGGGTCGCGTCAGGTAGCCCCACCCACAACAAAATACAATAATTGGACCGAAATATCGCATTCGCTCCTCAATGTTAAACGTCTGAGGAGGAGGTGTGATTGTGTTGAAGAAAAACATTGAATTATACACAGAGTCATGACACAGGTCTCAAGTTCCTCAAGGCACCGAAAAGAGCGTGACGTCTGGAGAAGCATCGCGGATGTCATTGACATGCAAGGTATGTGCTTTACACTGTGCAGTTTTTGCGTGCGCGAGAGTGAATAGACCTTATTCAGAGCAGCGCCATTACCGCCATGACAGGTTTGAAAGCAAAGCTGAGAGTGAGAGACTAACCGTTTTTTCAATGGCATCCACTGTATAAAGCTCCAAGATCACTTTTTTTCCACGGCTCATGTTGCCTGCAGTTTTTCTGTCTATTGAAATTTCTTGGAAAGATATTTTTGCAGTGTTTCGTCAGCAGAACAATCCAAAAACACATTGTAGGCTACATCTCACGGAAGAGATTATAGCCTTGTCCAAATTTCCACACTTGCGGTCTTTGCACTTGACCACACTTGACCACACTTGACCACTGTCTACTTGCATGACGTATTTCCTCTATTTGACCCAAGTGTTCAAGTAGGCGTAAAAACTGCAAGTGTGTGTAGAACTTTTGATTTGATTACTCGATGGGACACACTTAGTCTTGCAAAAAATGCAAGTGTTTATTTTACAGAGCTTTTATTTGTTATATTTTTTGTTATATTTATTTTATTTCAAATAAACTTTTACATGTCGGTTCAGTAGTTGCTATGTAACTAACAGAAGACACAACTTTAAAATTTTGGTGCTTCTAATTAAGTGATAAAACAATCGCAAATGTTGTACAAAATAGGCCTACACATAACATAAACATACTCATCTTTGGACCAATAAAATTTGCAACACTTTATGTTTTTACTACCAAATTATATGTATCTAGTTAATTTCACGATTTCGGGGCACATGAGATCACGAACATAATGCATGATGGGATACGCTTAGCCGGAGCGGTATTCGAGATCGTGTGAATTAAGGGCACTGCACTTTGGCATTTTTAAGACATGGGACAGTCTTGCGCACTTCCTGTCGCATGCACACACTTATAAGTGGCCAAGACCGCAAGTGTGGGTATTTGGACAAGGCATATGGCTCACAGCCTCGCTTTTATTGCCAATTTCCTGTTAAGAATTGTTCTGATTGGCTGGGTTTTGTTTTGTTTTGTTGCGTCACGTCCCAGTTTTGCATTTGTTGACGTGATAGCAACGGAATGCTTTTAACTAGTCTTGGAAGAAATTAAGCTCGAGTCAGTTGAACCAATTTCTTCGCAAAATTGTCTGAAGTATGAAATCATTAGTTACCCGTAAGCCAATCACATAACGCAATCACCTCTCTCTCCAACTTAAACATCACCTCCATTCAAAATGTTTAACAAACACTTTTCTTGTTCGCGCTTCAGTTTGCAAATGCCAGAAATATTCTCCACAACAGAGCGAATTGCATCCCGTATCTCCATATCCGCGGTCGTTTTCGATTTCCCTAACCTAAAATACAATCTTAAACTCGCCGCTTAGCGTCTATGTCACGGCTCTCGCTCTGTTCGTTGATTGGCCGGCTGTTTTCAGGCCGGAGGAAAAATGAGAGATAGGTCGCTATCTCAGACTGAGTACAGAAGCCAACTGAAATTGAGCGGAAGTACGAAGTCTGACATAGTCAGGCTAGGCAAACTAGTCCAATTAGAAACAATTAACTATCTTTCTTACTTTTTAACTTATCCTTTTTGTATTATACATGTATCAAATTCATTACAGTAATAAAAAATAAACCTACACTAAAAAACATACTGAAATCACAAACCAAACCCCATTCATGGGCTCACAAAATCAATGATGGAAACAATAGAAGCCACTAAATAAAAACAAAAAAGTTAATTGTGACTTTTTATGTCACAATTCTCTCTTTTTTTCTTCAAAACTTGCGAGTGATATCTCACAATTTGAACTAAATATATCTCGAAATTGTGAGATAAAAAGTCGCAATTACCTTTTTTATTTTTAATCCATTGTGGAGACACCCGTCAGAACTTTGAAACGTTCGAAATGGTATGACGATGCCTTGTTTGCTGAAATTACGTGACTTTACATGGCGAGATGCCAATACACATAGGCTATACTTTGATACATGCTGTGGTTTCGAATCGATATAAAAGATTTGTAAAGCTTAATGAAGCAGTGTTGGGAAAGTGCCCATCACTACTTCTAACTGACCGTAGTCTTCTCTAGGCAGTGCAGAAGATGGTGATGTTGACTCTCCAGCAGAGATGTGGTCTTTTTCAGTTGCTGGTCCTCCTCTAAGGAGCCCTGCAGAAACACACACAGACATAGATTTTTAAGGAATCATCAGATTTCATGCATGAATAATGAAGTGGAGAGAGGGACAGAGTGTATGTTGTTTGGCTCAGTACCTGTGGTGAAAGTTTCATCTTGTAATAGGGAAGCTGCTGTTGTGTAAGAGTGCGAGGGAGAGACATGGAGAGTGGTTTACTGCTTTTGGAAGGAACTTCATCCATAACAAAGCAGTACAATATATCATCTATAACTTTAAATAAACAGAGCCTGAGAGAAAGGAAGGACGAGGGGCCTCAGAGGATTGGGCGAATCAGAGTGATTCCACTTTCCTGTTGCACAAATCCGTTGGTACAGTTACTATAACTCCACATATCTGTCTCTTTTACTGTAGCACTTTTGCCTGGGAGCTTGTGCTCGCACACTGGGCCCTTCGGCTGAACGCACATACACTGCTCCACATTTTTCGCCTTTTCCACAACGTCTTAACACAACGCGAGCACCAAAATAACATGAGTGAGTCAGTCAGTGATGTGTAGGAGGAGAAGGAGACAGAAGGAAAAAGAAAGATATTGATAGAAATGAAGAGAGCAAAATTAGGTGTTTTACAGTAGCAAACCCTGAGTACTCTTATTTTGAGCAGACTGCATGTTTGCGTGTGAACTGTGTGGTATTTATGAGCTATTCAGACAGGCTAAACTAGAACCAGCTTTTCTCTTTGATGCAAGTCAGACCATTCATGGGTGAATCGCATTAAGAAACCTCAAATTAACCCTAAAATCAAAGGACTGCTTTGCAGCATACTTTGCACAAAGGAAATTAAGCCTATTTTTAGGACCATTACACATTTTCCCATTGTGACATTTTCATGACAGTTAAGCACATTTTTCACGGTTTTCAGTGTTTTTGTGATTCACCCTCCAAGGCCTCTTTTTTTTTAAAGGAAAAAATACAGATGTGTATTTTAAACCTATTTTTTTTTTCTATTGCAATTGACTACTTTTTTATATTTGGAGTCCTTGGCCCTGTTTACACCTTGTATCAAGATGCATTTTGGTCAATCGGATCACAAGTAGACGAGGCAGACACATACCTGTTTACACCTGTTGTTTTAATGCATCTATTTTTTCCACTTTCGACCACTTCTGTACTGATTTCTACATGTTTATGCATTAGATCAGTAGGTGGAGAGTACTGTTCAAACCATAGACTGTAAAAAAATATGGACATAGCGTCCGTGACGTCACCCCTAGGTTTCTGAAGAGCATTTTTGAAGCCCAAAGTGGGCGGAGCTGGCTGTCGTCATCTTGGCAGCGCGTCACTCTCAAATAACCGAAAATGGGCAAAGAGGATGGATTAGCTGAGGTGATGTGACGTCTACAGCAGACAAACGACTAGTAGTGACAGCAGCAATCCACCTGTAACTCAAGTGGTCACGCCCTTAATTATGCAGTACTTTAAGGCATAATATAATTTAAACGGATGAGTTTTAACCCCCCTCACAGTTGTCTAAATTAGCTATATAGACCAATACCACTTTTTGTACCAGGCTGTAAAAATCTTTTTCTGCTGTGAAGTTTTAACATGGGGGTTCTATGGGATTGACTCTCTTTTGGAGCCTGTCTCTAGTGGTCAGTCGATGAATTGGAGTTTAAGTCACTTCCGTGTTGGATTCAAGAGAGAGACCGGAAGGTTGCCGCTTAGTTTCTGACCCAGGGCCGGCGCTCCGCACACGCACATCACGCACTGCGCGTAGGGCACCAAGTACTTGGGGGGGCACCAAAAAATCTGGGTCGTGAAAAATCATCACAATAGGCTACTAGTATAAATAACAAATAAAATATGTCTAAAGCATGTTAATATACAAAAGCAATACAAAAGTAATATAGGCCTAGACCAAATTAGTCGAGAAAAAGGTGAATCTCCTGTGCCAGTCTCCCTCTGGTGCCCCCCCTTCCCCACCTCCCAGTGGTCTGTTCGATTATGCCTCAATCAATGTCAAATTTGGCAGACACCGACCTCAGACATGGCCTCGGAAAGGCACCAAGAGTCGGGGGCGGAAAAAAGGAAAAAAAAGAGACAGCGGGATGATACTCGCACGTCGCTTGCAGGTATGATAATGTTTAAAATAAAAATGTTAGTTTTGTAGCGCGGGCGCCCTTGCGTCGTGAATGCATGTCCAGGGGGGCGTCGCTAGTAGTGCAAATGATCCGGGGCTTTTTTAGCCCTGCATGTTGAATCTGTTATTTTAACGGGGGTCCGGGGGTTTCTCGAATTTTGAAACTTGGGCTGTTTAAGATGCAGTTAGTTTGTTTGAGAAGAAAAGGAAGACCGCTTAGATACGTTTTTTCGTTGTTGTTCTATGCGGATAATTTTCAAGAGGTTCATAGGCCAAGGCCCAAGGGCGACATCTGTTGGTGAAACTGCAATTAGAAAAAAAAAAACCCACAATCTCAGTGTTTGTATATTTTCATATTCAGATTTGTTAAATTATTAGGGCTGGGAAAAGATTAATCGCATCCAAAATAAAAGTTTGTGTCTACATGATATATGTGTGTGTACTGTGTATAATTATTTTGTAGATATAAATACACACACATATGCATGTCTATATTTAAGAAATATTTGCATGTATATACTGTATATAATTATATATAATTTATATTATATATAAATTTAAATATTTTATATATAAATAACAAATATTTCTTAAATACATACATGCAAATGTGTATTTATATATATACAAAATAATTATACACAGTACACACACATATATCATTCATGTTCCAAATCTGTGTTTTTAGTAATTGTGGTGGTTTTTGGTATTTATAATTTTAACCTTTATATTATTTATTTCTTTTCATATTTGGTGCCATTGTTAATGTAAAATAATTTATTTGCAGCAGTTATTTTGGAAGTAAAGAGAACCTAACTAAGAAATTCTGAATGCTTCTTATTCCTTGGGTAAGTGGGTGCGTAAGTGGGTGAGTGGGGGGGCACCACCAAGCATTTGTGCTTAGGGCACCCAAATGGCATGAGCGTTTACACTATGAAAGCAATCTGGTCAAATGCATTTTCGACTACCTCTTAAAGTAGCTGAAAGAAATTGACGAAAATGCTTCTTAATACCAGGTGTAAACAGGGCCCTAGAGACCCCAATGATGTATGTAAAAACTGTAGTAGTATTTTGAGAATAATTACTTATTTCTTTCCCAAACTCCTTAAAAAAATCCCTTGATCTGATCAAACCTTAGACAGATATTGATGTTGATACTTCATCTCTCTTTTTTTTTTTTACCACAAAGTAAACATGTATTTTCCAGAAATGCCATTTTGTATTTAATGTTGTTTGGGGTCAATTGGATCCCAGTAAAAAAATATGTGGCTGAATTGGCTGAAGTATATCAGAAAATTATGTGAAAATTCATTGTATTAATTTGTTTTTATACCAGGGGTCTCATGTAGGACATTTGAAGTGTGTTATTTTCAACTTTGTTCATCACAGAATTCTGGAAAAAATACAGCTGTCATCCAAGGAGCACAACTATTTTCAATTAGTCATTAATATGGTAATATTAATATGGTGTTTATATCCAAAAAGAAACCATGCTGGGGGATGTTTTTGTATTTAGCGCGATCACTGCGCTGTATGTTTTTTCTGTGCTTGTGCAGCGTCACGAAATCGCGCAGAATCTGATGACTGGCGTCAATGGTTCCGTTGCTTTCATTTTGTTCATCAATTGATGTTGCGATGATTTATATAAAGTCATTCTCGAGTCATTGGATTTCAAGTCAAAGTCAAGTCATTTTCTTAATTTAGTCAAGCAAGTCTCAAGTCCTTAAATTTGCGACTTTAGTCAAGTCATGTGACTCGAGTCCCCCATCTCTGGTGTATATTTATATATACAGTTGCAATCAAAATTATTCAACCCCCATTGCAAATCAGGATTATTGGCAAAATTTACAGACTTTCAGCTGTTTAATGAACAAATCAAACAAAAGTAATTGAAATAGCTCAACAACAAATGTTTCAAGTGATTTCCCCAAATTTAACTGACTTCTGCAAAATTATTCAATCCCCTGAATAGAATTCCTCACAACAGCACAAATCTGCAAAAATAATCAAGGGCTTCATTGGTTGCACCAGGTGTGCTTAAGCTAGAACACATGAAATATCTGAACTGGCTAGGTTTGTTGAGTGTCACGTTTGATTGCAAGTTAGAATTATGGCTAAGTCAAAAGAATGGCCAAAAAAGTTAAGAGAAGGTAACATCGCCCTTTACAAACAAGGAACAGGATACAAAAAGATAGCGAAGGCACTAAATGTTCCTAGAGAGACCGTTGGAAGCATAGTTTGCATTTTCAAAGTTAAAGGAACAGTGGTTACACTACCTGGACGGGGTAGAAAAAGGCAGCTATCAACGGCTGCAACCAGATTTCTAAGAAGGCAGGTTCAGAAAAACCCTTGAGTGACTGCAAAACACCTGCAGCAAGACATGGTGGTGACAGGCACAGAGGTTTCAGCTGCACAGTAAGGCACGTACTAAACGCATACCAGAACCCCACGATGTACACAACTGACCCAGAAGCACAAGAAAAGTCTGCTCCAATTTACTCAAAATCGTATAAATAAGTCACAGAAGTTTTGGGATTCTGTTCTGTGGAGCAATCAAACAAAACTGGAACTTTCCGGGCCTCTGGATCAGTTGTATGTCTGGAGGAAGAAGAAAGAAGCATCTATGCTGAAATGAACACTGTCTACAGTTCAGCATGGTGGTGGCTCGGCGATGCTCTGGGTCTGCTTTGCGTCTTCTGGCACTGGAAACCGACTGCGTGTGGAAGACAAGATGGATTTATTGAAGTATCAGGAAATTGTAGGAGAAAACATCATGCCGTCAGTGAGGAAGCTGAAGCTTGGGCGTCATTGGACCTTTCAGCAGGACAATGATCCCAAGCATTCCTCACAATCTACCAAGGCTTTGTTGCAGAAGAAGTCCTGGAAGATTCTACAGTGGCCATCACAGTCACCTGACTTGAAGCCCATAGAAAATCTCTGGTGGGATTTGAAGAAGGCGGTTGCAGCACGCAAAACCAAGAACATTACTGAACTGGAGGCCATTGCTCATGAGGAATGGGCTAAGATACCTCAGAAACGGTGTCAGAAGCTGGTGTCTGGTTATACATCTCGTTTGCAGCAGGTCATAGTGTGGTATGCTGAATAGTACTCATTAAATTAACAGTTTCTTATTTCTATATATATTTTCCTGTGATAAGTTGCATAATTATTATCACTATCAGTTTTCTTATGTATTTCTGTGATTTTCATGTGTTATAAGGGATTATTTACAGATTTATATTCGATTTATATAATTATCATCATTGTTGTTTTAATCTAAATTAGGGGTGTAACGATACACAAACCTGACGGTTCGGTTCGTCCCACGGTTTTGAGGTCTCGGTTCAGTTCGGTTCGGTTCATTTCGGTGGGGTGGGGTGGGGGGGGGGTTTAGAAAGCTAAAATTGCTTTTATTTTTTATTAAACAGTGCTTTAATGAACAAATTGTGTCCTTGTCTTTAAATTAATTCAATTACAAGTAAACGTTTCTCAAGGATAACAAAATGTTCTGCTAATGCTGTAAACTACAGCCCTTACTTGCACATTACTATAACATTAAAGCTTAACAATAGAGCCTAGACTTTTAGCCTAAATGATATAATAATAATCAACACTCAAATAACAAATTGTATGAAAACATGTAAACTGCACATAAGGCAATTTTTGCATTAACATGTTTTTACTCTAATTTGTTATTGTTATATAATAATTTACACAGTTGCTGTTATTTTCATGACAACTATTTTAAACATACATTAAATAATCAAGATATCATAAACAGGTTAAGTAAAATATAATATATAGGCTAATATATAGCATTTATTTAGTTAAAGAGTTAGCAAACCAGCAAGCTGTGGACACTGAATGACTTGCCTGAGGTAAATATAAAGCTATGTGAAAAACTAAGCATTTTATTGACGTATTTCCGCTGTTGAAACACTGATTGAGTGTTTACACGAGTTATGATGCCTTTCAGTAAGTATACTGTATCTTTCAACATACCTTCAGGTGTCCATTCATGTTTATTCTGTAACTGAGGAAGAGATGATCGCGCTGCCGCATGCATACAATGATATCTGTCACGCCACATCTAAGAGCGCCAAAACGGCATTTATTGTTTGCATTTCGTGATCAAATAGACATAATTTGAAAGATTACACCTTGCTTATTATCAAAAGTAACAAAACACTGAGCTTATTGCGATTATATGTGGTTAATGGTGGTTAGGCAACAGCCCTATTCGTTGTGTACACATAACACATGAGGTGCAATGAGCCGGGGCTGGGCGGGGCAGCAGGGGGCGGGGCGTGTTCGGTTCGCCATGAGAGTATCGCGATACGTATCGTGGGTGGTGTATCGCGGTTTTTCGGTTCGGTTCAAATATCGTTACACCCCTAATCTAAATGCTTGTTACAAATATTTTGGGTTCTATAATAAGCGCTACTGTTTCGAATTAATTCAATATAGTATCGTAGTAGCTATAGATGGATGTGTGTTAGTGGTTATACGTGTGTGTGCACGTCATTGCGTACATTTGTAGAGGGAGTTCAGTGAAGAAGCAACGGTGAAGAAGCATTGCTTGGACGTGTATTAATATTAATATCATCCTTTACAGGTATCAAATGTATAAAATGCACACCATCATTGTTCTAATAGCTTCATATTAAGAAAGACTGGTCACTATATTAATTGTTTTCGATATGAGAGTGATATGTCTGTAAACTCTGTTTAGTGTTAACGATCGGTGCTGCGCACATGGTTAGGCAACTTGCCGTGGAGATAAAGTACAGAGTATAGTGTTATTGTATGTGTTTCAAGGTTTCCTTTATTCATTAATTTTGTGTTATGAGTTTATTTCGTTCTGTTTCTCTGATAGTGTGAGTATGTATATGACATCATGAGTATGTAGTCGAGTGAACTTGGATGAACATACATGTTACATGATTTGCAATGGGGGTTGAATAATTTCGATTGCAACTGTGTGTATATATATATATATATATATATATAAGTATATTTCTTAAGTCATTAACAGCCTTGAGGTCTGAGAACAGAACATAAGGCTTAATATTTTCAGGTTCCCGTCTGCTTCACTGGACCTCTCTGAGGATGTTCTGTAAAACTGGTTAGCTGTGGAGTGGCCTGCAATCTGTCTCTGTCTGTTCTCGCTGTTCACTTTCACATCATGTTCCTCATTTCTCAAATGCATTCAGAGAATCGACGGTTTCTTTTTCAGGAAGACATTTTAGCGGCCAACATCTGCAGTAATAAAGACCAGGGGCCAGTTGCATAAACATAGACTGTGTCTTTAGAACACTAGCTTTAATTAACTGCTTGTTGGTCAGACTAATCAGTCTCACTTTTCGGATTCAAATTAGACCAATCTACCTTTTTATGTGATTGGCAAAAAAAAGTTATGACCAGTCTCGAAGAAAAAAATAGATTACTAACTTTGTAAGACTAGTCTAAGGCCTAGTCCACACGTACAAGGGTATTTTTATAAACTGAGTTTTTCCTCCTTCATTTATTTTTTACGCTATGAAGCGCTGTCAAGAGCATGCCAAACCAACAGGTGGTGATAAAACCATAAAGCCACGTTGGCCAATCAGAAGCCTGGAAAAAAGGTTATTACCATCACAAGCCAAAATCTTCGGTTTCACCGTCTACACGACAACACTGCAACCGTAGTTTCTAAAAATCCTCACCCTGGCAGTTTTCAAAAAAGTTTGGTTTCATTGACCGGACACTGCGTTTGCATGTGGACGAATGGCCAAACCGCAGCTTTTTCTATACCCGCTTGTAAAATACCCATGTTCGGGTGGACAGGGCCTAAGCAGTTTATGCAACCGGCCACCGCTTGTAAAATACCCGTGTTCGGGTGGACAGGGCCTAAGCAGTTTATGCAACCGGCCACTGATCTCTCTATCTCCTCAGAGGGTGTTTAGAAACACATTAAGACATTTTCACATCAGTTCATCACTCTGTCCTGATGTTGATGTTTGTGCAAATATGCAAACATGAACATCTCATAATCGCTCTTAAAGGGATAGTTCACCCAAAAATGAAAATTCTGTCAGTAATTACTCACCCTCATGTTGTTCCAACCCTGTAAGACTTTCGTTCATCTTCGGAATACAAATTAAGATATTTTTGATTCAATCTGAGAGCTGGATCACTCCTCCATAGGCTTCTAAGGGATTGAAACTTGCTGGCCCAGAAAAGTTATTAAAGACATCGTTAAAATAGTCCAAGTGACTACAGTGACGAGAATACTTTTTGTGCGCAAAAAACAAACAAAAATAACGACTTTATTCAACTATTAATTTCCTTCTCTGTTGGCCTCGAGTTAGTTCACTAATAATTAATAGTTGAATAAAGTCGTTATTTTAGTTGTTTGCGCACAAAAAGTATTCTCATCGCTTGATAAACTTAAAATAAAATAAAATAAGCCACTGTAGTCACTTGGACTATTTTAACGATGTCTTTAATGACTTTTCTGGGCCGGCAAGTTTCAATCCCTTAGAAGCCTATGGAGGAGTGATCCAGCTCTCAGATTTAATCAAAAATATATTAATTTGTGTTCTGAAGATGAACGAAAGTCTTACAGGGTTGGAACAACATGAGGGTGAGTAATTACTGACAGAATTTTCATTTTTGGGTGAACTAACCCTTTAAGTGCTGAAGATCAGCCCACATGAATCTCTAATAAACACTTTTAAAGCAAAACAACCTGACACGTTTACCTCAGTCAAGGGAGCCAACAAAAAATATGGAAAAAATGAGCTTGGATGTGTGTGTTTTGTATTTGTGAAAGCATGTGTGCGTGTGTGTGTGTGTGTGTGTGTGTGTGTGCGTGGGCGTGTGCGTGTGTGTGTGTGTGTGTGTGTGTGTGTGTGTGTGTTTCTTACCGTTAGCTCCAGTGATTGGTTGAGTCCATTTCTTTTGCTATGCAGGAAGGCTGTAGAGCTGCCAGCCTTGGAAATTCTCATTCGGGCCAGTCGGGCTTTCTGTTAACACATACACACACAGAGGAAGTTACAACTCAGTCTATACCAGTGCTTTTCCATCACAAAGGTCTGAGTCTCAATCTGATCCCTGTTGAAAGAGCAATTCAGATCAAAGTGCTTTAAGAAACAAAATGGATTTTCACATAGATTGCTGTCCGTCATGAGATGATGAAAAATGCAAGTGCCTAAAAAAAGTCCCTGACAGCTATGCAGTGAAAATGTGCACAGATCAGGGAATAAGAAAGCTGTTGCTTGCACACACTACAAAGCATAGAAGAATGATAATTTAGAGAAACGCAGCTGTGTATTGGTTAATTACAGTAAATGTCTTGTGTAATGCTGAATTACGGTTAGCACAGCTGTGTAACGGTAAATGATAGAGCAGCGGTTCACATTCCCTCAGTCTATGTCGTTTTTATAGGCACAGCATGGATGATGGGTGGAAACCAGCAGTCGAATCCTCTGTGGAACATCAAATTTTAATATTTACAATGAATGAGAGTATTTTAATCTTCTCAAATCCAGAGGCATCAAATGATCTGATTTGTGCTCTCATTCTTTCATCATCTCATAGAAAACTGAAGCTCTCTCATATTTCAGTTCCCTTAAGAGTTAAGCTTTATTGACATGATAAAAAGAGTTTACATTTGCAATGCATTAATAAACATGGATACACTAGGTTTTTATATTTTCTTGAACGTGTTAGGGCAGGGTGGTCGCCAGGATGTTGCTATCTGGTCATTAATGTGTTCTGAGTGTTTTTTAGAGCACTGATTTGCAGTTGCTAGTGTTATGTGGTTTCTTGAGTGTTGCTAGATTACTTAAATACCCTGGCGAAAAAAAATGCAAGTATACTTGCAGCCAGAATAATCATCAGTATACCTCAAGTGTGTTAATGATTAGTTAACTTGAAGTGTGCTATTTTGAAACAACTAATTTGTACTAAGTATATTTTAGTTGTAATTAAATTGTAGTAAAGCACAACTTTAAGTGTATTTAGTGTACTAAATTGGACCAACTTCAAGTATACTTTAAGTATATGCCTGTGTAGGGACTAATTACATGCTTGACTAGTGATATTAAAGTGTACTTTATTTGTGTTACAAGTACATTACAAATGCATTACGAGTGGCTTCGAATCATACAAGCAATATTCCATAAGTGTATTTATCATAGACAGTAAAAGAAATGGATACAGCGACTCCATAGACTTCAACGGAGAAAAGTGAAGTCAATTAGAAGCACTCACTTCCTGATGGCTGAGCGTACTGTGCAGGCTCAAACTAAGCTTGACAAGATGTGACGTGAGCAACCTGTCTGACAGTTGTAAGTCTTGCAGAGATGGAGAGCGTGAGTATTAGCTGTCCATGAGCTAGCAGCAGGATCAACTTTATGACTCTCAATGGGCTTCTCCCTTGACTTTATGCCTCCACGTCCCCCCGATTGCCTGCAAGCTTCTCCTCCTGCATGTCTATACGGTAATTTCTCTACTGTGCGACAGAGAGTCGCGTGGTTATGACGCAATCGTTAGCCTATTTTTACAAAAATGGCTTCTACGGGGCCATAACGTAAGATACAAGGTAATGGGGTCTTTTATACATGTTGTGTTTTTCTAGAAATAAATATTGGACAAATGGAGTCTTTAAACGCCTCAGATGTAAAGTTATTCGCTGTCAAAGTGACGCCAAAATGAATGGGAGTCAATGGAATGCTAACAGCAGGTGAAGGCTTGCTAGCCAATGGATGCCCCCATGGAAGGTACGCTTTCTGGGTGCTGGATTACCCCCTTGGTATACTATTTATATATATATATATATATTTTTTTTTTACATTTTCACCTTTAATTAGGACAGTAGAGAGATATAAAGAGATATAAAATATATTTTTAGAAAATATACTAAAGTACAATTATTTTAAAGTGTGTTAAAAGTTGTATTGTGAAAATAGGTAAAAGCATGATGCTAATATACTTTTAATATATTTAAAGAGAGTACATTTTTTGTTAGTATATTTGCAATGTACTATTGAAAAAGGAAATATACTTCAAATACAATAAAGTATACTTTTTCCACTAGGGTACTCTTTTAACTTGGACTATTGAGTCTATTTTATTTTGGTATGAATGGCTTGTGTCCCTCCTTCATGTTTTTTTTTTCTTGTTGCCATTTTAACATTCAACAGGCTAGAATAATTGTAAAAATATCTAAACATTCTTAAAATAAAATAAAAATAAAATTGTCTTCATGCAATATAATATGATATAGGTGCATAAGCTCAGATCAATGAGGCCTAAATACGACCAATCAGTTCTAAAAATAAATAGAAAACCTTTCCAAAAAAAAAACAAAAAAAAACAAGTTGCCAGAAAGATTGAATTTGGTGATAAAATAGCATAGCGAGCAATTTACAAGCAAATTTTAAAAGGCCGGTCATTTTTGACCGGGAACACCAAAGGTGTTACTGTGATTTCAACACAGCATAAGGGTTAGCACGATATTTAATTTTTTAAATATCACTATTATCATCATTATCGGTATAACCCTAAATGAGTGTTTGTATGTGCGTGTGTGTTTTTAAATTATTGAAGAGGAACAAATTGTGTCTCAGTTGCATCAGAGACCTCGCAGAGATCAAACCGGTATTCTGATGTTCATTAATTTCTCTCACACACTTGAACACAGATAGAAAGAACATACACCATCATTAAAACCATCACACACACACACACACACACACACACACACACACACACACACACACACACACACACACACACACACACACACACACACACACACACACACACACACACACACACACACACACACACACACACACACACACACACAGTCCCTGTGGGTGAGAGGAGTGCTAGCTCTGCTCTTTTCACAGGAGATTGCCATCACATAATGGAATCAGTTTGGGCCTCGGAGACCGTTTGTGTTTCCAACAAATGTTGCAACAATTTTCGGCTATCATGGAACAAAAAAGAGAAACATTTTTCCTGGGGATCTGCCCCTGCAGAATGGGAGATTGGGAACGGCCGCAGTAATGACGGGGTTCTTTATCAATGTGACACAGAATATTGCTGCTGAGAACAGTTGTTCAGGACTCGGCTGACGCTAACCGCACTGTGCTGAGATCAGATATACTGAACAAAGCAGATTCACACAGATTACATTTCAGTTTTACACATACAGTTTTATAAAGCCCACTGTGACACACTTTATGGCTGTGGCGAGGCCATGACCTCTGTTATATGCCTGTTCTCTAATTTCATCCTGAATATTATGATGCGAAGTCCCTTATGAGGCAAATTTGTGGCCCGTGATCCATTTCAGTTCACTATTCATATCAAAGTGTTCCTTTTTGAAATAATAATGCATTTTTCACACTATGTATTCAACAGAAATATGATAATGTGCAATACATTTTTTCTCTTTTTTTCTTAGCATTGTTATTCTGGTAGTTATGAATGGGTGGATAAGACCTCAGTCTGGGTAGATTGTGGCCTTCCCTTGTGTAAAATAAGTACACTTTACATTTAAAAAAAAAAAAAGGTAAGTATTATGGAAATATTATACTTTCAAAGAATATAATTAAGTGCAAACTGAATGTAATGTTTTTGAACACGTAATTGCATCTTAATTGCAATTTAATGAAAATGTATTATAGTTCGGATTTATATTAAATGCATGCAATTAGCTGATATTTTTCCCCACTTAAGTAGAATTTAATTACATATTTATCCCCTGGTTTCACAGACAAGGCTTAAGCTGACTACAATGTTTGAGCTGTTTTAACTAAAAAATGTCAATGCCATTGTTTTGTCTCGAAGATGCACACCAGTAATGTTTTTTTCTTAATGTTTTCTTCTTAAATGCCCCAATTTAACTAAGGCTTAATCCTGGCTTCATCTAAGCCCTGTCTGTAAAACCAGGCCTATATGTAATTTCAGAATTATTACCTCTATTGTCTTTGAAATATGGTTAAAGTGTACTGCCAAATGTACTGGCAATCATTTATGGTAAACTAAAATAATGACCTTTCATTTAATTAATATTATATTATCTGCAAATTTTTATATAATTTGAAGTACACTACAATACATTCAATACAATTAAGTGCACTTCTTTTTCTCAAGGAAGGCGACCCTGGGTGGACTCGGGTTATACTCAATCTCTACCGAGATTTTCATTGAAGTTTGTGATCAACTGTTTAGTCCCACAAGATCAGATTCCTGCAGTGGAAAAGTGTGACCTGCATGATTGAAACGCATAGATGCCACGGTCAAAGAGGAGATTTCAAAATCATACTCCACAGATTGGATGGATGGTTTGATCATGTGAGGGATGAGATCATTAATTGGGAATGGAAAATATAAGGACATGTCCCTATCAAAGTCACTACTGAATAATTTTAGTGATCGCAGTTATATGAATACTGTAGATATATTGGATATAATAGAAGTATTGCATGTCGTGTTTTCATTCGATCAATCAAGTGTATTTAATTCCCCATATAAATGAAATTGTTACGGGATGCTGTCTAGATTGCGACATGCACGAGTTGTTTATGCTTGAAGCATTCGCTCTAGCGCAAACCACCAAAGACCGGTGCGCAGAGTACCTCCTTTTTTTTGTACAGCCTGCAAGATCCTCAAGATCAACTTACATTGAAAATGAAACTTTATTTATTGATGAATGAACTTTATAAGAACCTGGATTTATTTTAATATAGTTTGGACAAATCCATTCAGTATAGAAAAAGTAAAATACTTAAAGTCAGAAAAATTGGGCAAAACAAAAAACATGTCCCCCTAAATAATATACATTTGTACCTTATCCACCCCTTTAGGGTGTATATTAGCAGTAAAGGCAACCTTTCAACTGTACAACGTTCAACCTTTTTTGACTTCGAGACCCAATATCTGATGGCCGAACACTAGCTTCTGTAAATTCAATGATCCAACCATGAATATGCAAATTAGCCCCGCCTCC